AACATTTATTCATTTTTGAGACACAGAGAGAGACAGCATGAGTCGGGGAGGGGCAGAGAGAGAGGGAGACACAGAATCTGAAACAGGCTCAGGTTCTGAGCTCTCAGCACAGAGCCTCATGCGGGGCTCAAACACGTGAACCTTGAGATCATGACCTGGGCCGAAGTTGGATGCTCAACCAACTGAACCACCCAGGTGCCCCAACAATTTCCTATTTTCTAAGCAAATATAGAGGCTACTGTGATAAATGAAATTCAGTTCTTTTTAAAGCAATACCGAATTCCTGGGACTCCTGCATTTTCTAGAAGAAAACTAAATGCATAGTTATTGTGTGTGGGGTGGGAGATTTGGGAGCTTTTTGGATGTTCAAAAGCAGCTTTCATATTGAAGGTTAAGAATCATTAATTTTACATGGGAGGAAACAAGAGCCACGAGAAGGGAATTGACACAATAGAGCCACCCCTAGAATTTCAGCCTCCAGGTCCCTATCTGCAATCCTTGGTCTTTGTTCCTTCTTCCAGATGCCACTAATTCTTACAGGAATGGCCAGAGGAACTTCTCTGGTCACTTCAAACCACAAAGGTTGATCTCAGGAAGGGAGCTCTCAGGTTGCCACTCATGCAGCTCCCCTGGCATCTACAGGAGCCGGACCTCATCAGTGGTTGCACCAGGAGGAGCTGGAGGGTCAAATTCTGTGCTGGCCTCTGCCTTCCTTACAACAGAATTCTTGAGGGAAATTTTCTATTTTGCAGAGTCTTCAGGTCATTTCTGCCTTCACCTAGGGCCCCCTGGTGGTTCAGACATCAACTACAGGCTTTCTGGAAAAGTTGCCAGCCACACCCTTCCTCTCAGGCTTTACTAAACTTCAGGTATTAATAATGATCTTTGCTTGGACGGTGGCATTTACAATTAGCTTTTACCCCTTAATTTGGTCTTTGCATGGACTTCCTGGAGCTCAGAGCTGGGACCCATAATTAACATGCTTCGGATTGATCCGAGCCCTTAGGGGCACAGCTTTGGGCTCCTTCCTTCCTCCCCGCTGCCCCGGCCGCCCCAGGCTTTTCATCTGCAGTGTCTCCACGATGTGTTTTACCAGCCTAGCTGAGCTCACTGCTGCCCTTTGCAGGTGGGAGCATCTGTAAAGCCCTGTCCAGAGGTGGGTTCTAGTGAACTCTTCTGGAGATGGATTCTTTCCCAACAGTCATGTTGTTGGAATGCTTTCTTTTTTCTCAGAGAGAACTTTTTTTTTTTTTTTTTTTTTTTTAAGGAAAGAAAAATGTCCGGGGTTTGGGAGTGAAATAGAATACCATAATCTAGAAACAGAGTTTTTGCACAACAGTCTTCCTTATCAGGACTAAAATTTCACTGTCTTAATATGTCAGATGACAGGAAGAAGGTCAGCTGGAAGGACATGCCATATAGGGTAGAAGATTCCAGGCTGAGGATTAAGGGCTTTGTGACCTTTTTCTAGGCCTACAGATGCTCCTCTGCCCCTTTACCTTGGGGAATTCTGATTGCTTTGCTTCTCTAGTTTCAAAGTGGCTTTCTGCTTTATTTTTTTTTTTCCTCCTTAACACCAGGACTATAATTTAGACCATTTTTTTCCCCTTCTTGAAAACTGTTGCTATCAGCCACACATGGAAAAAATTAAAACCTCTGTATTTCTTCTCAGAAGTAATTTTCCAGAGCGAAAGAAAGAAACACAATTACCGAATTACTAAAATGGAATTGTAAAATTTGTAAAGCTGGAGGGAGTTTGGGAGATGGTTCCAGAGAAGGGAGGCCCAGAGACAGGAAAGCTTTGCTCAAGGTGAAGCAGAGAGGCTGAAGAGAGGAGAACAAGATCTCCTGCCTGGAGGCCAGCACTCCCCACAGCTCACTGCACCCTCACAGTTGTATTTGGCACCATGATAGGAAGGAGAAAATGGTGTGAGGTAAATGGATACAGTGAAAGAATTTTAAAAATGCATTCTGAATACTCAACATTTGAGGAAAGGGGGAAGAAAAAGGAATGTGAAAAAGAAGTAACACTTGAAAGATTCCAGCATTGCTGTTGTCATTCTTAACCAAAGTGCTTCCCCCAGCCCCACCCTAGCGAGGATCCATGGAGGCATCCACCTTCCTTCAGGGCAGTCGTTCCCAGTCTTCACCACCTATTGGTGCTGGGTCTGCCTTTTCAAGGTTCCTTGGGACATTGTTATTCCCTTTTGCATGGAAAGGAAGGAGGGAAGAGTGGGCAGGGATAAAGGCTGGCAAATGTGTTGTGTAAAGGGTCAGATGGTAGATATCTTAGGCCACTGTGGTCCATGTTGTCTCTGTCACTCTTTTGTAGCGGGACAGCAACTACACAGACAACTCATAAGTGAACGGGCGTGGCCGTGTGCCAATAAAATTTTATTTATGGTCAATTAAGTTTGATTTTCGTGTGACTTCAGGTGTCACAAAGTATTATTCTTCTTTTGGTTTTCTTTCAACCACTTAAAAACGTCAAATCCATTTGTAGCTTGTGCAGGGGTCAGAAGCCCTATTTGGCCCGCGGGCAGAAGTTTGCTGACTCCCTTCACGAAAGCGGTCAAGCAGGAGGTAGATTTTGGAGGTGGCCTAATGGAAACGCTAGAGAGAGAATTCAAAGCAGGTTGGCAGGAGCTGAGAAGAGAAAAACAGATGTTGGCGTGAGTGCCTGAAAAGGTGGTGGGTTCAAAGGAGAAGGGAAGGAAGAGGGGCTTGGCGGGGACCGGGCTCCTCCCACCGTCTGGGCTGCGTCCGGCTGGCTGGCAGCGGCTTCGGTTACAGGCTTTGGGGTCTTGGCCGGTTGCCGACAGCTTACTGAAACCAATTTTCCCCGGGGCTCTGACGACTCAGTTCTGAGAAGTGCCCTTCCTGGTCTACAAAAACAACCAGTGCTGACGGATCCCTCCCCCCCCCCCCCCCCCCCCCCCCGCCCCCGCCCTTTAACTTTTCTGGTCTCCCAGGCTTCCCGGAGCCCGGGGGCGGGCCAGGGGCCCAGCGCGACCCCGCGCCTCGACCCCTTCCCGGCCGAGGGGGATCGGGTAAGGGGCGCAGCCCCTCTTCCCCCGGCTCGCACCGCATCCGCGCGGCGGAACCAGAGACCCTCTGGTGGCCGCCCCTCGTCTGCTAACACAGGCGGAACCTACGGCTGCTTTCCTTGCAGCCTCTACCCCAGTTCCCTCCCACGACTGACTTTCGCGGCTCGGCTTCCCGCTACGTCCCACAGGAATGAAGGATCAGCGTGGCAGCAAGCACACCGAGCCTTTTTTCCTGTCTTTGCGGAGGCAGACACGACAAAGGCTGGGCTTACCATGTCTGCGCGGAGCGGTGGCGGGCGCTGTGGCGGGGCGGCGGCGGCGGCGGCGGCAGCGGCGGGCTGTGAGCTGCGGAAGGCGGGCGCGGGCTCGGGGTCCGGCTCCCACCTCTCCCGGGCCCGCCTCCGCCTCCGCCCCTCGGGCGCAGATCCGGACTTGTCCGCCCCGCCCCGCGCGGCACCGCCCGACTCCCGAGCCCGGCTCCCGGCCGGCCGGTCTCCACCCCCAACCCCTTCCCCACACCCCCTCCCCGGCGCAGATCCAGACCTGTCTGTCCCGCCCGCGTGGCCCAGCGCGCCGCTCACCCGAGACCCGCCGTCTCTCCCGAGACCCGCCGTCTCTCCCTGTCCCTGAAAGATTCTGGACTTTTCTGAATTAAAACTTCTGCATGGCGGTCTTGGGTGTGGTGTGCCTGATGTCCGTGGCTCTTTTCCGCGAACGAGCTCATTCCGGTTAGAGAGGCAGAAATATCCGTTTAAAAACGTGCAGCACGGAGTGTGGGCCGTAATTGTAGAGTGGAAGTTCCCTAGAAGCCAGGGCTATCTATCCCTTCACATTAAAGAGGGCTAATACACGGTGGTGATTTGTGCCAAGTGGAGTACCATTGTCTCAAACGTCTCCCTAACCGAAGACAGTTAAGCCCACAAAACCTCAAACCACTGCAATTAAAAACGGAGCGGTGTGAGTAGGGATTTATCTGTGTGCACTGGGCAGTGGAGCTGGAAGTCATGTTGAGAATCAGAAGCTCTGGGTTCTACTCGTGGGCCTGTTAACTTGATTGCAGTACTTTTGACAAACCTCCTCTCTCCTCAGAGTTCCATCTCCTTATCTGTTAAAAGTAGTGACGTTGCCTTTCCTGTTTCATAACATTGTTATAACTGTCCAGTGAAATGAGAGCTTTGTGAGGGCTTCAAAAACTGGAGTGGATGGTGTAAATTGCTTCCTGACATCTGCTGTCACTTCTGAGCAAATCTGCCTCTCAGCTACTGCAGACTCACATTCTTTTTTCTTTAAAAAAAAAGTTTAAGTATGTATGTAAGTATGTATGTATGTATTTAGAGATAGGGTGAGCAGGGGAGGGACAGAGAGAGAGGGAGAGAGAGAATCCCAAGCAGGCTCTGCCCAGTCAGCATGGAGCCCAAGCGGGCTTGAACCAACTAATCCTGAGATCATGACCTGAGCCGAAGTCCTGCGCTTAACCAACTGAGCCACCCAGGTGCCCCATCAGACACACATTTTCTTGAATCCACTTGAAAGCCCCACCTGAGCCCCACACTCAATAATTCAAGAAGTAACCTGCTTCTTTCCCATCTACCCCTTCTCTGCTAGTGGTACTGCCATTCTGCCATTCTTCTCCAACTTGAGAACTTTGGATCCAGGTTTTGACTCTAAATCCCTTTCTTATCCCCAAATCTTATCAAGTACCAACTCCTATCAATTTTATTTTTTTACTCTTTTGGATCTCCCCCCATATTTTCTATTTCGACCTCCAGTGCTCTAATTTTGATTTTCAATCCCTCATTCCTCCAGTTTCTTAACTGGTCTCTTGCCCCACTAATCTGTTCTTTTGACTATTAAAAACACATTTTCCTGACAAACAGCTCTGATCAATTGCCTACTTAGGAAGCAAACCATGACAAAAGAATGAAACAAAATGGCGCCCTATTGCTTTTTATATAAAATATGAACTTCTCAGCCTCTATCTGGACGGGAAAAACTTCTTTTACCAAATGAATGAATGAATTCTTCACTTTATTCATTTAACAAACATTTTTGGAAACCTATGTGCTAAGCCCAGTATAGGCACAAGACATACAAATATGAATATGATATAGTGTCTGCCTTTGAGGTGGTCTGTGGATAGACTTTAAACCCTTGGTAGTTTGGGGAGTGTTCCATGGATGGCTACTGAGGTCCACAAATACCCTTAAGTTATATATGAAATTTTCTGCATAAGAGATTTTCTTTCTGGGGAAGGATCTATAGCTTTCATTTGATTCTTAGAAAAATCTAGGATTAAAAAATATTAAAGAATCATTAGTCTAAATGATTCTGTATGTGAATCATGGGGCCTTTTATACCACAATCCTCTTTAAAGGAAAGCACCTCACTTATAGCCTCTGCTGAAGGGTCAGCCCCATTGGTGACTTTTTGCATGATTTGACCCTGTGCTCACTGTCACAGCTGATTGGATTGAGGCTAGCTCTGGACTCAAGGAATGACAAACCATAGAATGGACAGTAGTGGATGTTTCATGACATGACATGGAAAGATGAGCTGAGGCAACTCAGCTTCTTGCCCTTGGGAAATTGAAATTAGAAACACATAGAGAATTAGACGTTTAGAAGAGCTGAAGCTGAACATTTGCGTAGAGAGACTCATGAGGTCATGGCAAATCAAAATTACAAAGAGGTGGACACTATGAATAAGTAGAAGCTATGAAGTTCAGAAAGAGTGTACAGAATAGAGGGGAAAATAAATGAATTGCTAACTAGAAATAAAAGAAGTAGCTACTTGGATATTGGCTGAGTTGCATAAATGGTGAGGCACTAAGAACCAGAGCCTATAGTCCAACTTTACTAGTGTTCTTGTCCTTCCTGAACCTGGCTGTTCCATTTTCCTGATTTTCTGTAAGATAGTTATTCTTTCAGTAACTCTTCTGCCCCATGAAGTAGCTTGAGTGAAACCAAAGAAAAGAGCTGAACCAAATATGTATGAATTGTCTGGAACCAGGCTGGGGCATCAGCTCCTTCGGGTCAGGGCTGCCAGGGCTGGGCAGCTGCCCAGGGTCATGCTGAGCTGGGTTCATTACCAGGTTTTCATCAAAGGAGAGTTCAGGATAGATGGCAGACAAAGGTAGATTCGGCAAAGTAGGTAAATAGTGCATCAAGCTAAAGGGCTAAAGCAGGTGAGGAGCTGAGGACAAGTGCGGGCTGGTAAACTGATGCCAAGAGACTAAAATGAGGTACAGATGAGCAAAAGGGCTATTCAGAAAATAAGTGTGGGGAGTTTTTTTTATGTGCAACCTGAGCTCTGTGCAGCATTGGGTAGATTCTAAAATGGACACAATAGAGTGTGACAGACATAATAGTTGGGTGTGACCGAGGTACAGTGACAACGCTGGGGAGGAAATGAGTGGTTAATGTTGTGGGAGCAGGGAAAGCATCATGGAGAAAGTGCTGCTTGAACTGCTGTTTAAGGATGCCTGAGAATCCACCAGGCGGATGGCCCAGTGGTGAGGCTGAGTGAAGTCAGGCAGTATGGTAGTGTTTCCAATGACAGACTTGAGCTACAGTGTGGGGTTCAAACCCACTATCTCTATGAGCTCCAGCGAGACATTTATCTGCTCTGTGCCTCAGTTTCCTCATTTCCGAGTGGAGAGGATGGTAGCGCTTGCTTCATGTGGTTGTCTTGAAGATTAAGATGTAATTCATATAAAATGCTTAGGACTCAGAGCACTGCCTTCAGAGGAAGCCTCACATGATGGCTCGTGCAGAAGTAAAGAGGGATGAAGCCCACGTGCGTTCTCAGGACTTGTGGGTGGCTCCGCAGTCCTACACTCTGGGTGTGGGGTGATGGTCAGTGTGAGGCAGAGGCTGAAGGGTATGAGCCTGGAGAGATAGGTCAGAACATTAAGGGCTCTGCCCCAAAATTTGGATTGCATCCTGAGAGCTATCAAGAACCACTGATGAGTCTTAAGGAAGAGAGTGACATGATGCACTTCACCTTTTGGTGTACTAGAAAATGTACCAGAAAGGAAAGAGACTGGAGGCTTGGAACATAATTGAATATTGTTGCAATGACCAAGGGGAGATGGCCGTGAAGTGGGGAGGAAGGGATTGCTCAGTGCTGAGAAGGCAGAAGCAATCGAATCCATGCCCTGTGTGGATGTGGAGGGTTTGGAAGAGAGATGCAATCACTTTAGGAGAGAATAGGACTGACAACAGTGACATTTGGGTATAGCTCTTCAAATCCCTCTCGCCTCAGGACTTCTGCTGCTCTGTCTGATGTGTCTCCGGTTGTCTTCCTCGCTCTCCTCATCTGTTTTCATCTGCTCGGGCTGCCATAACAGACACCACACACTGGGTGGAGGGAAGAACAGAAATCTATTTTCTCACAGTTCCAGAGGCTGAAAGTCCAGGATGAAAAGTACTAGCCAGTTTAGTTCTCAGTGAGTTCTCTTCCTGGCTGACAGACAGCCACTTTCCTCCTGTGTCTTCACGTGGTGGTGAGAGAGGGAGACATCTTGCTCTTCTTTTAAGGCCACGGTCCTATTGAATTAGGGCTCTGCTCTTATGACCTTTAATCACTTAATTATTATTTAACTGTATTACTCCTCAAGACCCTATTTCCAGGTTGAGTCACATTAGGGTTTAGGGCTTCAACATTTAAATTTTGTAGGGGAGGGGAGAACATAGTTAAGTCCATAGCATGGTCCTTTTTTTTTTTAAAGTAGTCTCCACACTTAGCACGGAGCCCATTGTGGGGCTTGAACTGACAACCTTGAGATCAAGACTTGAGCTGAGGTCAAGAGTCAGATGCTTCACCCACTGAGCC